TGGTTTCTTCCGGTGGGCTGATAGTCCCTCATATTACACTGACAGTAGTCATGCCAGCAGTCATGTGAATCCGATGTTTTCTCCGGCTGACAGTGCAGATGAGGACCGACGTAGCCAGAGTCTTAAGTTGAATATTTTAATATTTCTCCTTGTTGTTGTACTTGTATTTGCCCTTTTTTTAGTTCTCCTGGTACTCATTAATGTGTGAGAACTGTACGGTATCTTTTAGAACTGATATGTGATTATCGTATGTTTCTGCACCATGTTTTTTTCTATCAATAAGCTATTCTGAATAAGCTGCCCCAAACAGTTTAATCAGACAGGGGTAGGAAGGTCATTTAACTACTAATAAGCCAGTCTGAATAAGCTGCCCCAAACAACAAGCCAAATTATTCTGATAATCTGTAAATTATCAAATTATCAAAATAATCTGCTTATCAGGAGATTATAAATAATCCACAGCTGTGCCAAACAGAGCCTTAGGAGCCGGATTTATTAGAAGAATAAATAAATTATTTATAAAAAAGAAAATAAAAGCTACATTTTTATATATATTAAAACTATGTTAAAATCGAACGCAAGATTATATGAAGTGCTTATAGATAATTCTTCATGCAATTTGCACATAAAATTCAGCTTAGCAAATTGGTAAAAATATAGAGAAGCAGGTCTCCAATGACAAATTTACAAAAAAATAATTATGCATATATCATTTAATTTAATGATAAAAATGCCGGTTTATTTTCACGGCAACATATACGTAAATATTATTTGTCATATCATCATACCACTGAAAGTAAGCTTCAATTCAGTGAGGGAACCAATAGAATGAGGTATGCTTGATTTATTGAAGGAAATGCCAGAAAGGCTCAAGTAATGTAAGTGTTGCAAGAGAAAAAAGTGATAGAACTAAAGATGTGACATGTAAGAGGCCTTCCTTTCTTAAATCGAGCTTGATGACATGATTGATTGTATTGCTGTAACTCACACCCTGCCATGTACAAAAATCTTCACCTATCTCCCAAGTTGAGAGAACTAGCTGTGCATCAGATAAGCTTTGCTCGAAACCAAGAAAGGCACCCCTTTCCTCAACGCTACAACGTTGGTGCAGTTGGCTAGTAGCTACGTGGCCTTCACTTATCGCTACCAAGAAACTAAAAGACAAAGCAGAGATTAGTAATAGAAAAACCACTATTCTTCCTATCGTGATTTCTATAATTTTGGCTCTCTTACTCTTATCTCCCTTTATAGCATGGGCTGGCACAAATAATTCTCTCCCCTTGTAAATTAAATTTTTAAAAGGATTAATTTGTAATTTTTTTAGTAAAATTATAAATTTCCAATTCTTTAAAGGCTTCACAATGATGCTGTGGACTTTGACGTGCACTAATCAATGGGTTGGAATAGTCAAATAGATAATACCAAAAACATATGTATGGTCTTAAAATACATACTTGTATGCATGAATGTATAGTTTCTTTTTTGTGAGATTTGTGAGTTATTATATAAATAATAATATAGTAATAATTGAATGACATATTAGTTATTATAAAATAAATTAGGCGATTTACGAATAAATATAAATGCATAATTTTTTGCATAAATATATATAGCACCAAAGTGTTTTAAATGTAAGTATCACATTGTAATTGTTAGATGTATAAAATCATAAGAATTGTGTGGTACATATGTAAATTTCCCTTGCAATTATTGATTTGATCTATTGTGTGTAAATGAGACATCAGCCATAACCATCACAAGTAACATGAATTAATAATTTAATGACTTGATTAGGGCTTGATTTGATTTGGATTGGAATGACTTTGATATCATTTGGTTCGTCACAATTTGACTATCAACTTGCTAAAATCAGAGTTCCACATGATCCTTAATTGAAGTTTGAATGTTTTTTATTCAAAAGATTGCATCGAGATTCATGTCCGACAATAAAAATTTATTGGTGGCGTATCCATTATCACTCATACAGAACGATTTCATAAACACAACGATTTCATCTCTAATTATTGTCAAATCAAATTTTATATGATCTTAATTTCAGTTCAATTTGTATACGTGAATATCAAATAATAGTAAGATTCACACGCATACCAGTTAATTCTTACGTATTTACATAACTAACATCTAAACTTTTTAAAAATTAAAATAGTAATATTTTGATGTGACATAAAAACTTTTTGGCGGTATAAATGTAAAAGATATATATAAGTAAAATGACTTTGTTGCTTCATGAATAATCAAAATTCTTACATATTTACTTATCTAACTCGTAAAAATTGATATTTACGTACATGTCACTCAAATTCTTAGCATCACATACAAAAATATTATTATGACTAATTTTTTAAAATGTAATAAGATTTCCATGCATAATTTTATGGTATCAATGTGTTATAAATATAAGTATAAAATTTTATTAGTTATATAATTAAACTTCCTAAATATTGTTAAGGGAATTTTATTTGTTAGTAGTAGTAATAATAATAATAATAATAATAATATATTATTATTTTAGTTGGATTACATCAAGAATCGGCTTTAAGCTCATATCTTTTTGATTTAGTTATGGATATTGTTTCTGCCAACCCATTCTGATATGCTTTCCCTTAGTTGGTTGTATGAGATATCCATGTACTTCATATTATATTCATTGCATTTTAAAATACTTCCATCATCAATTAATTCTATAAAGTTGTTAATGGCCAGGTTCAAATCATTATGATCACATAATGGGTTCAAAGTGGAAAATGAAATAGGTCCATTGAAATTGTTTGATTGGAGGTGTAATATGTTTAAGCTTTTAAATTGTCCGAGCCAGTTTGGAAAACTCCCACTGAGAATGTTATAGGAAAGAACAAATGTGTTCATGGTTGATAAAAAATTAGAATGTAGAAGTGAAGTTGGGAAGTGTTTGTAGGTTGCGAAATGATAAATATAAAAAAGAGAGAGAGATTGAAGTACCTTAATCTCATTTAACCAATTTGTAGTAAATGTTAGATTGACATAAGACATATCGATAAAATATAAAGAGGAGAGGCATGACATCCATGCAAGGTTATAAGAAACCAAATAATTCCCACTGAGATCAAGATAATGAAGAAATTTCAAGTTTCCCAGATGAGGTGGAACCACTCCAACAAACCCAGAATAAGAGAGGTCAAGATATCTCAATTTAGTGAGGGAGCCGATAGAATTAGGTATGCTCTCTTGATTAAAGGAAATGACATAAAGGCACAAGTATTGTAAGTGTTTCAAGAGAAAAAGTGACGGAACTACTGATGTGGCATTTTGAGGTCCTTCCTCTCTCAAATTGAGCTCAATGACATGATTGGTTGTGTTGCTGTGACTCACGCCCTCCCATGTGCAACAATCTTCACCTATCACCCAAGTCGAGAGAATGAGCTGAGGACCAGACAGACTTTGCTTAAGGGTAAGGAGGGCATTCATTTCCTCAAGCCTACAATGTTGATGCACTTTGCTAATACCTACACTGCCTTCACTTCTCACTATGAAGCAACAGTAAGGCAACAAAGTGATGATCAATAATTGAAGAATCTCAACTCTTTCCATCTTAATTTCTATAATTTTGGATCTCTTGCTTTTATCCCTATTTATATCATTGTGAAAATAAATGTTTGTTTACAAGTCATTATAATTGGTTTATTTCTTGTACTGCCAATCTAGGTCATTATAATTGGTTTACAAGTCATTATAGATGCATTAATGAGCTTATTTATAAGTTAAATTGGCGCATAAGATTTTCATAGTTTATAGATAATATTTGTACTAAAAAATATGATAAATTACTATATGTGTGGTAGAGAAATCTAGGTCATATCACTCAAAGCACAGGAGGAGACTTAATTGATTGACTGATAAAGGTAAAGTAAATTTTATCCTACAAAGACAAACAATAATCATTTTTATTGTTATCTTATAATACAAAAATTTTGCTGATTTTTAGTAAACATATTGCATGCTTTTTATGCAATAAATTAAATTAAATTAAATTAAGGGAGAATATTAAAGATGGTTAAATTTTTATGTTATGAAATTAATTATAAAAAAAGAATTAAGATTTTAATTGTTAGAATAATAAATGCATTGAGATAAATTGATGATAATAGAGTGATTACTGCTCAAATAACTGTTGTCCATTAAAATTATAATTAAGATTAATAATTTTTATGATATTTCAGCAGAAAATTGATATTTCAGCAAAAAATTGCAACTCCTAAAGTTTGATAAGATGATTTTTTTATGAGCCACATGAATATTAGGATTTAAGACTCCTAAAGTACTCAATAACTATTAGCCCCCACTTGTAGATATTAGCATCCCATTAATGTAACGGTTTAATCACTAATCACTCTCCAATCAAATTAATTTAATCTTTATTTCAATTCAATTAAAATAAGTCTTTATCAACAATATCTAATAAAATGGGGCATTTACGTACGTACCGCACAATTCTCATGTAATTACATATCTTGCACTTGAACTTTAATATTTAATATCACATTAAAAATATCAGTCATACTAACATTTTAAAACTGATCAAATGCATATTCTTATGCATAAATATATAGCACTAAAGTGTTTTAAATGTACATATCAAATTGTAAGTGTTAGATATATAAATTCATAAGAATGATGTGATACATATGTAAATTTCTCTTGATATATTAGTGTAAATGAGACATAAGCGGCAACTATCATAGTTGACTGACTTACCGCATGGACTGGACTTGGTGCATTGATAACGATAGTGTGGCCTTTGCTTGGACCCCATCGCGTGTTAGCCTTTTCAATTAAATTATACATATAAAGTAATAATTAATTAATGAGATTAATATTTGCTTTGCTATGAGAAATCCAAACTTTCAATTTTAATATATTTTAATGTATTTTCTATTAATTTTCTTAAATATACCTGAGTTCTTTCTTAAAGATTGGTTAAAAAATATTTGACGAGCCTCCTAATCAATTTCGTGCGCCTAAGAATTTCATTCCACACATAGATGGATAGGTGGACCTTTTAAAAAACATGATTTGAATCACGAGCTAATGAGTCGATTAGGGTTGTCTTAAGCTAGGCCTAACTTAGCTTGCTGGCTTCTAATCAAGCTGAATTCGAGTAGATTCATGAGTTGATTAGACTTTGTTACACCCTAACTTAGACTGACTTAATGCAGTAATTATGACCCAAAAAAAAATAAAAATTTTGTGTGATTATCATTCATGCACGTAAGTACTCCCACATGGCTTAAACTTGTAAGTATGTAATTAATCGTTGCCTTTAAATAGGACAGGAATTAATGACTTGGAGGCCTCATATCATTTGCTCGCATTACACATGCAACGATTGGATCACATTTCATCAATATAATATTATATTTTGCATCATTTATGTGGGGAGATTCATGCATATGCAGATAAATTGTTAAAAAACTTTGCCTTTTATTCAATGTCTATGTAATTTTACATCTAACACCTAAACTTTGCCTTTTACATTCATACCACCCAAATATTTTATAGCTTATATAAAGATTCTTGAGAATAATTGATCGAAGACATAGCATAACTTTAACTAATATTATTATTGGGACTAATTTTAAATTGATAATACTTTAATCTGCTGTTATCACCAACATAGTCTCATGCAACTCAAGGTTTCAAAGAGAAATGCAGGCTGAAAAGACAAAGTACTCCAATTGAAATATTAGTACAACACAATATTATATACTTTTGAAATATTAGTACAACACTTTTGAAATGACTCAAATACAAAAATGATCATCATTTAATTATGATATTTATTTATTAAACCATTGATTCACCTTTATGTTGACAAATACATAAATATTATCTATCACTTTATCAAGGAATTGGAAATAAGTGGTCGCCCAAGACCTCTTGAGCAATAAGGTCCCCAATACACTCCACAGTCCAACAACAAAACCAAGGCCCATACCGAGGTACAAACCAAAACGATCATCATCTTGAGAATTGTCTCCTTCGTCATTTATTTTATGTTCATCATTTTCGCAAATCTTATGTAGTGGTTCTCCACAAAGTTTTGGATTTCCGTAGTAACTTGATTCATGGAAAGTGTCAAGTTGGGTCCCCGTTGGGATACTACCAAACAATTGATTGTAGGATAAGTTGAGATAACTCAATGCACTGAGCGTCGCAATGCTCTCTGGAATATTTCCTGAGAAATAGTTCCATGAGAGATCCAAACTTTCTAAGCTTTGCATAACACCAATTTTCTTTGGTATCTTTCCCGTGAATTGGTTTCTCGATAAATTCAAGCTCATCAATCCAACAAGGCTCATTAATTCAATAGGAACTTCACCAGTGAGATTATTACAAGAAAGATCTATAATGTTCACAAGAGAGAGTATGCCTTTGAATTCACGAACTACTCCTTTTATGTCGATCTTTATTGAATCAGATAAAAGTTCGCCTGGACTGAATATAAGATTCATGGCCATAAAAACTTCATTGTCGTTGAATGGAAATGAAGGACCATCGTTATAAATTGGAGGTGCAAGCCTCTTATTTTGTATGACCATTGAATTGAGAAATTTAAAAGATTTTGGGATTGACCCTGAAAGAAAATTATTTGCAAGATCCAAGATCTGTAGATTTTTTAGTTTGGATAGCTCCAAGGGAATTGATCCATGGAATTTATTTGAGTGTAAGCGTAAGATCTTTAGGGATAATAATTTTTCTCCAATCCATAAAGGTATGCTTCCTGTAAGATAATTTTCTCCCAAGTCAAGGGTAATAAGCTTGTTGCAATTTTTGAAAAGTGGGATCTCCCCTCGGAAAACATTGTTGTTGAGGTTCAATGATAATAACCTCTGTAGGTTCCCTATCCAATGTGGAATTGAACCACTCAAGTTGTTGTATGACAGGCTGATAAACTTTAGCATCTTATAGCTGGAAATATTACCATTGCATTTTGGAATTTCTCCCGAAAGATTGTTGTGTGATAAGTCAAGAAGAACTATTGAAGACATTTGACATATAGATTTAGGCACAATTCTCATGTAATTACATATCTTGCACTTGAACTTTAATACTCAATATTACATTAAAAATATCAGTCATACTAACATTTTAAAACTGATCAAATGCATATTCTTATGCATAAATATATAGCACCAAAGTGTTTTAAATGTACATATCAAATTGTAAGTGTTAGAAATATAAATTCATAAGAATGATGTGATACATATGTAAATTTCTCTTGATATATTAGTGTAAATGAGACATAAGCGGCAACTATCGTAGTTGACTGACTTACCGCATAGACTGGACTTAGTGCATTGATGACGATGGTGTGGCCTTTGCTTGGACCCCATCGCGTTTTAGCCTTTTCAATTGCTATGGGAAATCCAAACATTCAATTTTAATATATTTTAATGTATTTTTTACTAATTTTTTTAAAGATTGGTTAAAGAATATTAGACGATCCTCCTAATCAATTTTGTGCGCCTAAGAATTTAATTCCACACGTAGACGGATAGGTGGACCTTTTAAAAAACATGATTTGAATCACGAGCTAATGAGTCGATTAGGGTTGTCTTAAGCTAGGCCTAACTTAGCTTGCTGGCTTCTAATCAAGCTGAATTCGAGTAGATTCATGAGTTGATTAGACTTTGTTACACCCTAACTTAGACTGACTTAATGCGATAATTATGAACCAAAAAAAAAAAAATGTGTGATTATCATTCATGCACGTAAGTAGTCCCACATGGCTTAAACTTGTAAGTATGTAATTAATCGTTGCCTTTAAATAGGACAGGAATTAATGACTTGGAGGCCTCGTATCATTTGCTGGCATTACACGTGCAACGATTGGATCACATTTCATCAATATAATATTATATTTTGCATCATTTATGTGAGGAGATTCATGCATATGCAGATAAATTGTTAAAAAACTTTGCCTTTTATTCAATGTCTATGTAATTTTACATCTAACACCTAAACTTTGCCTTTTACATTCATACCACCCAAATATTTTATAGCTTATATAAAGATTCTTGAGAATAATTGATCGAAGACATAGCATAACTTTAACTAATATTATTATTGGGACTGATTTTAAATTGATAATAGTTTAATCTGCTGTTATCACCAACATAGTCTCATGCAACTCAAGGTTTCAAAGAGAAATGCAGGCTGAAAAGACAAAGTACTCCAATTGAAATATTAGTACAACACAATATTATATACTTTTGAAATATTAGTACAACACTTTTGAAATGACTCAAATACAAAAATGATCATCATTTAATTATGATATTTATTTATTAAACCATTGATTCACCTTTATGTTGACAAATACATAAATATTATCTATCACTTTATCAAGGAATTGGAAATAAGTGGTCGCCCAAGACCTCTTGAGCAATAAGGTCCCCAATACACTCCACAGTCCAACAACAAAACCAAGGCCCATACCGAGGTACAAACCAAAACGATCATCATCTTGAGAATTGTCTCCTTCGTCATTTATTTTATGTTCATCATTTTCGCAAATCTTATGTAGTGGTTCTCCACAAAGTTTTGGATTTCCGTAGTAACTTGATTCATGGAAAGTGTCAAGTTGGGTCCCCGTTGGGATACTACCAAACAATTGATTGTAGGATAAGTTGAGATAACTCAATGCACTGAGCGTCGCAATGCTCTCTGGAATATTTCCTGAGAAATAGTTCCATGAGAGATCCAAACTTTCTAAGCTTTGCATAACACCAATTTTCTTTGGTATCTTTCCCGTGAATTGGTTTCTCGATAAATTCAAGCTCATCAATCCAACAAGGCTCATTAATTCAATAGGAACTTCACCAGTGAGATTATTACAAGAAAGATCTATAATGTTCACAAGAGAGAGTATGCCTTTGAATTCACGAACTATTCCTTTTATGTCGATCTTTATTGAATCAGATAAAAGTTCGCCTGGACTGAATCTAAGATTCATGGCCATAAAAAGTTCTTTGGCCTCGAATGGAAATGTAGGACTATCGTACAAAAATGGAGGTGTAAGCCTCTTATTTTGTCTGACCATTGAATTGAGAAATTTAAAAGATTTTGGGATTGATCCTGAAAGAAAATTATTTGCAAGATCCAAGATCTGTAGATTTTTTAGTTTGGATAGCTCCAAGGGAATTGATCCATGGAATTTATTTGAGTGTAAGCGTAAGATCTTTAGGGATAATAATTTTTCTCCAATCCATAAAGGTATGCTTCCTGTAAGATAATTTTCTCCCAAGTCAAGGGTAATAAGCTTGTTGCAATTTTTGAAAAGTGGGATCTCCCCTCGGAAAACATTGTTGTTGAGGTTCAATGATAATAACCTCTGTAGGTTCCCTATCCAATGTGGAATTGAACCACTCAAGTTGTTGTATTAGCATCTTATAACTTGAAACATTACCATCACATTTTGGAATTTCTCCCGAAAGATCGTTCTCTGATAAGTCCAGAAGAATTATTGAAGGCATTTGGCATACAGAATTATGAATTTCGCCTGAGAGATGATTTTGAGAAAGTTCAAGCACCACCAACAAACTCAAGTTCCCATTTAAATATAACTCAATCCCGCTTGAGAAGTTATTATTCGAAAATGATACATAACGTACAGAATTCATTGGTTGAGGAAGGCGCCCTTCCAATTGATTTGAGCTTAAGTCAATAGTTGCTTGAGATGCAATATTCAATGACATTGGAAGTTTACCTCTAATTGCATTTTGAGACATGTTCAAGTAATTTATTTGAGATGATATATTCCAAAACCAACTTGGAATGATATCAGAAATACCACAATTGGAGAGGTCTAAATTGGAAAGAAGCTTTTGATTTTGAAGCCATAGTGGGAATTGAGGACCAACAAGACAAGAACGTAGGTAAAGATAAATAATTTGAAATGGTGGATTCCAATCAGAACTAATCATGTTAAAACTCAATTGATTATTTGAAAGACCTAGGTATATCAATTGTGATAAATTTGCTAAATGAAATTCAGAAAGACTACCATGCAAATTATTGGAACAAAGGTCCAGAAAAGCTAAGTTAGTTAGTTGTCCAAGATTCAGTGGAATAAGTCCATCAAACTGATTATTTTGAAGATGAATGTATTTTAAATTTCTCATATTTCCAACCCATTCAGGTATGCTTCCGCTCAGTTGGTTATTGGAGATATCTATTGCTCTCATTTTATATTCTTTGCATTTTAAAGGAGTTCCATCATCACTTAATTTTGTAAAATTATTATTGCTAAGGTCCAAAAATTTGAGATCACATAAAAAGCTTAAAGAGGCAAATGAGATAGGTCCTGTAAAATAGTTTGAATCGAGGTCTAATTCATTTAATCTTTTGAATTGTCCTAACCAATTTGGCAAACTTCCATTGAGATGGTTATAACCAAGAGCAAATATTTCAATGGTTGATGAAAAATTAGAATATGGAAGTAAATTCGGAAGTGTTTGTAGGCTGCATGATGACAAATACAAAATGGAGATAGCTGGAAGCACACTAATCTCATGTAACCAATTCGTAGCGAATGTTAGATTAAGATTCAACATATAAACGAATTGTAAAGAGAAGAGCTGTGACATCCATAAGAGGTTATAAGAAACTAGAGAATTAAAACTAAGATCAAGGTATCTAAGTTTTGTCAAGTTTCCAATATGAGGTGGAACTTCTCCGGTGAATCCCGAAGAGTAGAGATCAAGATGGCTCAATTTAGTGAGGGAACCAATAGAATGAGGGATCATTGTTTGATTGAAGTCAATTTTACTCAAGCACAAATATTGCAAGTGTCTTAAGCGAAAAAGAGACGGATGTAACGATGCAGCAATTAAAATATCTGAAAAAACAAAGAAATCGAGCTTGATGACATGATTGGTTTTATTACTACAATTCACTCCCTTCCACGAGCAACAATCCTCGCTTATATCCCAACTCAAGAGAAGGAAGTGAGGATCAGACAGACTTTGTTTAAAATCAAGGAGGGCATCTCTTTCCTCAGCACTGCAACGTTGGTTCGCCTTGCGAATAGCTAAGCCACCTTCGCTTTCCGCTCTCAAGCAATAGAAAGATAGAGTAAGGATTAACAGTAGAGAGAACTCAACTCTTTCCATCTGAGTTGGGATAATTGTTGCTCTCTTGCTCTATCCATATTTATAGCCCATTGGTTGGAAGATTTCTCCAAAATTCTCTCCTACACTCTTTTTCTATATGATTGAGATAAAGTGTGATGATGATGGAGTGATTACTGCTAAAATAATTGAGATAAATAATATTTATGTCATTTCAGTAGAAAATTGCAAGAGAACATAATGCTTGATTCAAATTAATTTAATCTTAATTTCAATTCAATTAAAATAAGCCTCTATCAACAATATTTACAAAAAGGAGCATTTACGTAAATACCAGACAATTCTTATTTATTTACACATCCAACACCAAAACTTTAATATTTAACATTACAATAAAAACATCATTCTTACTGATACGGCACCAACAAATTTTTATTATTCATCACAAATCTCGAGGCACAGACCTCGAGACAATATTTTGAGCGAAGGATGTTCAAATGTTGAAAAAAATTCATCCAAAACTCTAATTTCAGTAAACTTATAGTCAAATTGGCCGACTCGATGAGGCACAACTAATGATATCAAATAAAGTCCAATGCGAGTCAAATCAAGCCAAGATCAAATCATAAAATAATTCTTGAAATATTTCCGGACACATTTGGAAGAACAAACAAATGCCAAATCAAACAAGTTTATAGTCGAAATGAGCGTCTTGAGAAGACAAACCCAACGAGCATAAGATTGCTCAATTCTGACATCATTAAGACACTCAAATGTCCAACAAACGTTGTATGATCGAGGGAAGTTCTACTGACCGTCTGATCAAAATGTTTCATGTCTCTGCATTAATTGCACCTAGAACACTATAAATAGACTCTCACCCTCACATGAGAGGAGAGTTAAGCCTAGAGAGAGCCTCAAACCTTGAGAAGAAGTTGCAGCTCAACATCACCGCCGACCGCCGTTTACTACAGTGAACCGTTCTTGACCCCGCCGACCTCCGTCTACCACCTCCGACCGTCGTCGAATTCGCTGAATTCCGTCGACCATCTCCTACCTTCGTCGACCACCGTTGACCTCTGTTGACCTCCGCAAACCGTCGTCGACCACCGCTAATTATCATCATTAATCACCACCAACCAGACGCCTTCGACCGACACTGTAATATGTAAAATGTAGTTAACCATTTTCATTTGCGGGACAAAAGATTTTTGTAATCATCAATCAATAGTTGATTTTTGTAATTAGATCAGCCCTTGTGGTTTTTCTCTTTACGGGTTTTCTACGTAAACACTTATGGAGTCGTCACCACTTGTTTCTCTTTCGTCTATGTGTGTGTTGAATTATCGTACAACACTAAGAAGATAACCCGTTATTCTACCGTTGCAAATTGTCTAGCACGTATCACTTACTAACATCTTAAAAATGATCGGATGCATATGCGTATGCATAAAGTATTTTAAATGTAAATATGAAGTTGTAGGTATTAGATATATAAATTCAAAAGAATTGCGTGGTACATATGTTAATTTCCCTTATAATTATTGATTTAATATATCATGTGGAATGAGACATGAGCCATAACCATCATAGTTGCCTGATTGGTCGCATTGACTGACTTACTATTGACTGACTGGCCGCATTGATAATGAAGGTGTGGCATTCAGTTGGACTTCCTTGGGCGTGAGTCTTTCTAACGAAACTTATAAAAAAAAAATAATTGTGAATTAATTAATGAGATAATATAAATGATAATATAGTAATAATGGATATTTCAGATAATGGATATTTCAATTAAATAAAATAATTATATAAATGAGAATATAGTAATAATGGATATTTCAATTAAATGTCATTCAATTATTATAAAATAATTGAATGACATTTATATGTATGAATAAATACAATTGTTTATAGTGACATTTCAGTTAAAAATACATATATTTTATATTATGTTGCAATAAATAAATTAAAGAGAGGAGTCTCTTTTAATTACAAGACTTGACTTGACTTGATTTTTGATGATGCAGCTTTGGTATCCGTTTCCATCCACATATTACTTATTTAGCATCCAAATTTTAATATTTATATTTATAGCGTATAGATTAAAAGGAATATTTAACTTCTGATAAGATTGTAACAGTGGTATTATTCATGTGATGTTAAAGATCTGAGAGATATATACATGTAAATTTAACTTTTTAGGGGGTGGATATGTAAATAAATAGGTAATTAAGTGGTAACCACCCAATCAATAAACATCCCTCATATAATACGGATGATACATATATTTTAGTCATTAAAATTTTTTAAATATTTATTTTAAAAAGTATTATGTTTATATAATTTTTCATCATTTTTAACATTTTATTTTTAAAATTAAATCAATTTATTTTCATATGAATATATATACTTACAAATATATATATATATATATATA